AGAAAGATTATGTACGGCTAGAAATTAGAAGAAAAATAAAATTTCATATTCATGTGAGAAATGGGATTCGAACCCACGCCCACAAGTGTGGACTGCGATCTGAACGATGCGCCTTAGACAGATCGGTCGTTCTGACTTCCTTTATTGCCCACAAACGGATAAGTTTATTTTAAATAGAGAGTTTGAAAAGGATTATGTACGCTCGAAATTAGAAGGAAAAAAAATTCATATTCATATCAGAAGTGGGATTTGAACCCACGCCCACAAGAGTGGACAGGAACCTGAATGCAGCGCCTTAGACCGCTTGGCCATCCTGACTTATTGTAGAGCCCAGTAACAGATAAAATTATTTTAAATGCAGAGTTTGAAAAGGATTATGTACGCTGGAAATTCGAAGGAAAAAAAATTTCATATTCATATCAGAAGTGGGATTCGAACCCACGCCCACAAGAGTGGACCGCGGCCTGAACGCAACGACTTTGAAGGCTCGGCCATCCTGACTTTTTGCAGAATCCAGAAACATATAATTTTATTTTAAATGCAGAGTTTGAGAAAGATTATGTACGGCTAGAAATTAGAAGGAAAACAAAATTTCAGATTAATATCAGAAGTGGGATTCGAACCCACGCAAACAAGACTGGACTGCGACCTGAAGGCAGAGCCTTAGACCGCTCGGCCACACCGACTTCATGATGCGGCCCGAATCTCATAAGTGTAGTTTAAATTCAGACTTTAAGAAAGATTATGTACGGCTAGAATGAAAATAAAATTTTGTTTTAATGTCATAAGTAGGATTCGAACCCACGCCCACAAGAGTGGACTTCGACCTGAATGCAGCGCCTTAGACGGCTCTGCATTTCTGACTTCTTTTAGAGCCCCATAAAGGATAAATTTATTTTAAATTAAGAGTTTGAGAAAGATTATGTACGGCTGGAAATTAGAAGGAAAATAACATTTCATATTCATGTCAGAAGTGGGATTCGAAGCCACGCCAACAAGACTGGACTGCGACCTGAACGCAGCGCCTTTGACAGCTCGGTCGTTCTGACTTCTTTTAGAGCCCAGTAACGGATAATTTTATTTTAAATGTAGAGTTTGAGAAAGGTTATGCACGGCTGGAAATTAGAAGGAAAATAAAATTTCATATTCATGTCAGAAGTGGGATTCGAAGCCACGCCCACAATACTGGACTGCGACCTGAACACAGCGCCTTAGACCGCTCGGCCATCCTGACTTCTTGTAAAATCCAGAAACAAATAAGTTTATTTTAAATGCTGAGTTTGAGAAAGATTATGTACTGCTTGAAGTTAAAATTTATATTCACGAAAGAAATGGGATTCGAACTCACGCCCATAAGAGTAGAGTGCAACTTTAACGGTGCACCTTAGACAGCTCGGTTATCCTGAATTCTTGCCCAAAACAGATAAGTTTATTTCATTGCAGAATTTGAGAAATATTATGTACGGCTTTAAATTCGAAGGAAAATAAAATTTCATATTCATGTCAGAAGTGGGATTCGAACC